GAGATGTCCGTTTAGCTTTCTCTTTGTTTCTTTAATTAAATTAAATTTTTTAAAGTAGAAATAAAATTAAAATAAAAGAAAAGTCTATGTACATGCACGAAGACTTGTACTCTTTTTTTATTTGTCCATTTGATAAAACATTTCGTACATGAAAAAGAAAGAACACCTCTTAAGAATTAAACTTTTCGAATTAAATTAATTATAATGAAGTCAGTATGGCAAACAAATTATAATTAATTGTTTCTCCTTAAATAGTTGTTAAGTCATGTCAAATATTGGATTTGCAAATTGTAAATTGCGGGTCTTCTGTTTCTTGTTACTTCACCACAAAACATGCTTGATCTAATATGGCTTAATTTGCTCACAAGAAAATATAACAACTAATTAAATATAATTAAGAATTTTTTTGTTAATTAAACAATTAAGCTACTTGCTGGATTCTTCAATTCATACTTAGCTTCCTCCCCAACTAGGTTCTTCCATAAAAAAATTCGTAATTTTGTATGTGAAATTTTTGCCGTTTATTCATTTTTGAGGTAGTTGTTTAATAAATGACTCTACTGAAAATCTTATAAGAAAATATTAGATCATGTATGGTGTAAAATATAATCTTTTAAGTTACATTAAACGTCTAATATATTGTCTGTGGGATTGGATAGTATAGCAAACCTATTAGTCTCGAATTGGATGTCATCCAAATAATTATTTTTTTCAAGAATTAGACTTACACAACTTTTTTTAAAAAAATATCGAAATATAAACATTGTCTTAAAAGGAATATTTAAGCAATTCAACCAATACGTACACGTAATTTCCACCATAAGTAAAATTAGTTACTTGACGTAGTTTATAGTATAAAAAAATAATTAAATTTACATTGTTAACGTAGGTAAGTTAAATTAAGGAAAAAATCTTTTGGCCAGAAAATTTGGCCATAATGATAAAATAACATATTTCATACTATGTTATTTTACCTTTTTGAACATTTTTATCTTTTTAACTTTAATACCTTTTAATTAAAAAATAGAAAAAAATCAATTTATTTTAAAATAAAAAGGATATTATAGACTTTTTAAATTTCTGTCCAATTTTTTTGACCATTTAGTATTACCCTTAAATTAAACCATGAAAGACATGGTTTTTTAAGCATGCCACTTGACAACTTAGTGATGAATACCTACCTAATTGATTAATTAAATTAAAACAATACTTATAATATTTTTCTTGGGGTCTGAGAGAATATCTCGATATGCTGTAAGGTAAAAGTGAAGGAATTTAATTTCGTTTAGTGTATGATCTTTATTATTCTATTATAATAATTTTACAATGAATTGCTTTCACGTTCTAGAGTAGTTTTCTACCTTACAAATGGAGTGCTCTTGTACGACAAAACAAACACCTTTTTTGTCTATCTTGTATAATTAGTACGGATTTTATATTTGTATTAAAAATTCATTTAACATGTATATTAATATTTGATAATGTCTGTCTTGAATTTTGAAACTCGTAAAATTCAAATTTCGACTCCGTCTTCCATCATTTTGATAGCATTTCATTATGAAAATTGTGGCAGGTTAATTGTGTTGATCAAACCCTACATTTGCAGCGTTTTAACCACGAAGAAAAGAAGTTAATTAGTTAAATAATTAAGTTGGGATTTCATAAAAGTAAAACATGTGCAATCAACAAGTACTTTAGTTTTTCTAACACATGCAGTTTACTGATGGTGACAAATGTCTAATTAAAGTGTTTGGCTGCCAAACAAAATGGGATTTTTTTTGTAATAGAAAATAAAAGCATAAATTAGTTAAATAAAATGGTATAGTCTTTTTCTTTTCTCACCAAAACTTTGAGGACTAATCATCTTGAAACAAAACCTAAAAAATAAAATAAAAAATGTTGTTAGTGGAAGATCCAAGGAATATTAGACTATATACATTGGACAGCTACAAATTGTGGACCATATATGTGACAAGTGATTCAATAACTGAAATTTGACTTTGAATTGATTTTATCTTTTTCTTGCTCTATTTTCAAACTAATTATGAGAGACAATTTTCTAGTCGATTTTTTGAGTTACTATATGATTTTGTATTAATAGATTTATTGAAGAATTTTACATCAGATGAAAAAGAAACTAAGGGTCTCTCATCAGATGAAAAAGAAACTAAGGGTCTCTTTACTATAGCTCTCTTAATGAGGTTGAGTCAGATTCAAAATCTATTCATTACAAAGTTGAGTCAGGTCCAAAATCTCTATTCATTACGAGATTTCACATTTCAAATTTACTTTTCATATGAAACTTTATGATGTCTTTCTTTATCACATTTTTTTCCTTTTCCCTTTTTTTGTGGGGGTTGAGGGGTGGGGGTGGGGTTGGGGATACTCATCATTAGTGTAACTACTTGTTCTTTAGGTATTCCCAGTTAGGGTTTTGTTAGAATCAAAAGCATTTTATTCTTTCTTTTGTCCTTTCCAATTTTAGCTTCTTTTCTAAACCATGTCGTTTTGGACCTTAAATAGATTAGTGTTTCCCTTTCAATGAATTGAAAAGGGCCAAATATATCTCTATAATTCGAAATAGTTTATATATATTTCATTTGACTATCCCCCCATCAATTAGATCACTATTGTTAAATTTGGGTACAATTTTTTTTTTAATTTCGACAAATAAATATTTAGCAAACTCAGAATTAAATGACTCAGCAGTTGCCCCTAATTTTAAACACCAATTTTTATTTTGGAAATCCACTCATACCTGCCATGTATGAGAATATATTTGACCCTTTTCCGTTTAACATATTTTAATTTTGTTAAAAACATTCATTTTGGTGAAGAATTTCTTTTCTTTTTCCAACCGTGTATGTTAATTCACTCTCTTTTTATATTGACTGGACAATGATGTGAAAGTAGTTGTTAAAAAAATTAAATAGATTCATGGGGGTTACAAAAAAAAAAGAATTTAATTAATGTTCCTTCTCCCACCTGCAACTGCATGCACTATAAATTTATGCTTACCAATACATAAAAAAAAAACTACTTATTCCACTCAATGTCACAATAAAGATGATAATAAAGTGTAAAAAAACAGTTACAGTAAAAAGTACATGAAAAAAAAAGATCAAAAAGGGATAACGAAGATAAAAATAACTCAAACTGATTCCTTTCATTAGTTTCTAAATCATGTATTCGTCTCAAATTATTTGTCATAATTTATTTTTTTACACGTCGTTTTAAAAATATTTGTTCTACTATTAAAGTTTTGTTGAGTGGGAAATGGCGTTCATCTATATTGCTTGACTTTCATTGTTGAAATTTTCTCTACAAGACTTAATCATGAGACTTTATCGTGTAGAAAAAATTACACTTAATTCTTTATCCAATAGTACAATTTTATTTTTTTTAGATGCACCCACAAGTCAATTTTTTTATTTTATTTTTATTTATACCCTAAGAATCATTCAATGATCGTCCAAATTTTTAGTATGCAAACAGTTGATATTCCAGAAACTGACAATTTATTGCTTTTGAATCAAATCGTTTTTTTTAAAAAAAAAGAATTATTGGTCCAGTCATAATTCTCTCTATCTCTAATTACTTATCAATTTTTGAATTGACACACTTATTAAAGAAAAAATAATTAACATAGTGACTTACCATTTCACCCCTATTAATTATGAAGTGGGTGAATTAAAAATTAAAGTTTTTCAAAAAGTTCTACCTTTTTCAAAGTAATTAATTGATGGTACAATATGTAAATTTTTTTGTTATTTCTTGATTTGTCAAAATGGACAAGTAATTAGGGACAATTAAAAAAGAAAAAGTGAACAAGTAATTAGGGACATAAGGAGTATCAGATGAGCCTAATTAGTATTTAAGGAAAGTCCAGATTTAATATATATTATATAAAAAGAAACTTTTGATCTATGTACACAAATAATTTTTTAATTTTTGTTGGAACCGAATGGTAGAAATTAACAAACTAAAAGAGAAATAATATTTAATATGATTTAATTAATTGATCAAATATGAAAAAATCAATATAAAAGAACGAATAAAAACTATTAAGATAAAAATTTCCTTCTTTATAAAACTCTTTTAACGACTACTTTATGACTTCTATTGTGTTATTATGTGTTAGAGATTATTATTTTTAAATAGAAGTCCAAAATATTTTTTATAAGAAAAGGGTTACCTAAAATAAATGAAGTAAAACAATCAACATGGTAAATTCCTTAACCTTCCTTCGAGAAAAAGGTAAAATTCAAAATATAGTAATATAATCAAGATAAATTTTAATAATATTCTGAGTGTATAATTCTTTGACGAGATGTATTTTACTGAAGTACATATTAGTCAATCATTAATGTTTGAAATAAAATTACAAGACAGTTTGCATTTAAGGGTGTGACCTAATGGTCAATGAATTGATCGAGAATCTTAAGGTCTCAGGTTCAAAATTTTATGAAGACCAAAAATATTAGGTGATTTTTCTTATTTATCTTAGTCTTGATAGACAGAGTAACTTGAATAGGTATTGTGTAAAATTAATAGATACACAAAAGCTGGCCTAAGAGAGAGTTGACCATTAATATGCAACTTCTACAACATTTCCACTTTCATCCATCTTAATTACTCCACTACTAATCTATGGTCCTTAAATTAATTAATTTTTACGTTAGTAGTATCTCAGATGAACTGGCAAAAGAGAATAAATAAATATAGTCCTTAAATTAATAAATTAGTCATAGAGTTTCTTGTTTTATTTCCCTTTTTTGCCCTTCTCCTAAGTTGCAAATTTTAAGGTGAGAGAGAAAAAAAAACAAAGAATAATATTTAATACTCCTACCTTACATGGGCTGTCAGTAAAGAGGATTTATAGTTCCTTCTTCCTTTTTTATTTCCTAATTTGAATTAAATTCCAAAAACAAGTCCTTCCAAATCTCTATTTTATTTCTTTCTATATATATATAAAATAAAATAGCCATAACTCCTTATTTCCCTTCAGATCCCTTTTCTTCTTCTTTTAACAAAAAAAATAAAAATGAGAGATTTTGCTTCTTGTTTCAATGAATATGCTGTACAAGTTTCTGATAATACTTCTTGTTCTAGTTACTCAAACTCTGCTTGTATCCCTCCTTCTATAATTCCTTCAGTACAAAACACTGTCAATTGTTTGTACAAAGTCAATTTATCCAATAAAAAACATGTCTTGATCACAATTTCATGGTGCAAAACAAATGTAACACAAGGCCTAAGTGTACACTTTGGTGATGATCATCCAAATGTATTCAAACTCAACACGAATACGCGTCTTTTTAGGAAGAAAAAGGGGAGTAAATCAATGGATTTGGATAATTTTAAGGTTGAAATTATTTGGGATTTGTGTGGAGCTAGGTACTTAAGTAGTGGTCCTGAACCAATTGATGGATATTATGTATTAGTCATAGTTGATTCACAACTTGGACTAATTCTTGGTGATATGGCTGAAGAAGCATCATTAAGGAAGTTGAAAAATGGAATTCCAATGGCTAAATTTTCATTGGTTTCAAGACAAGAACATTTTTCTGGAAATACAATTTATTCAACCAAGGCTCAATTTTGTGATAATGGTAACATTCATGATGTTTTAATTCGTTGCAACGGCGAAAATGATGGACTAAAGCATCCTGTTTTGACAGTTTATATTGATAAGAAGATGGTGATTAGAGTTAAAAGATTGCAATGGAACTTCAGGGGAAATCAGAGTATTTTTTTGGATGGATTGCTTGTTGATCTAATGTGGAATGTTCATGATTGGTTCTTTAATCCAGCTTCTGGTATTGCACTATTTATGTTTAGGACAAGAAGTGGTATGGATAGTAGATTGTGGCTAGATGATAAAGACAAATTCCTCATCAAAGATCAAGAAAAAGTTGAATTCTCATTGTTGATCTATGCTTCTAAGAGCACACAATGAAAAGGTTCTTGTTTTTTCTTTATTTAAATCTTTAAAAAAAAAATCATCTTTGATAGATTTGAAATTGTATATTGAACTTTTGTGGCATTGTACTTGTAGATTGCTAGATTTGGAAGATTGTATGTTCCTGTGTTTTTTCTGTGTTGTTTGTTTGACTAATCTGGATTTGCGCTCTTTAGAGTAGACAAAAGAGTTGAGAGTCTCTTGACAATGATCATCATGTTCATTTAATTTCAATTATTTTCTTTGTCCAATTAGCCTACAAAGATTTAAAAAAAATTCCAAGAAAAAAAAGAAGTGCAATTTTTGAGAGACATGTTAAGGGAATCATACACACATGTTTGAGTTAGGTGAGTGTCTTCCCTTACCATAAGGCAATCAAAGTGAGATTGCCAGGTAGGTTCAAACAGATTGGATGTGATCTTTATTTAGATCTTTAATGATAACCACATTCATGTAGGCCCTTTTACCTCTTCTTTTTAATTGAATTTCTCATTAGTCATTGTTGTACTTTTACTTTTAGTCTATTACTAAGAATTATGGCATGATATTGTCATAGAAAGGCAGCAAGAAACATGCCATATGTAACCATAGTCTTAACTATATATTGTTCCAACCAAGTTCCTATGATGTATATATATTGGTATATACCTAAGTACTAGTTAGCTCATGTGTCTCTGCCTATATCAGTGGTGGATGTAGTAAATTCATCAAGTTTAAATTTTGGATCGCATATTCTCTCTCTCCATCGATCCTCGGCATGGAGAGGAGGATGGTTGGATCTAAGGAACTCACCTAGTTGGAAAAAAGCTACCAGTAATCAAGGCAACTAAACCATAAAAGATGAAAACTGAGTCAATACTCAACAATGTAGTAGCTTAGTGATCAATTAAGTGAGTACTGAAATTCCAGTAGAGATAAAATTAACGATTTTTTTATTTGAGTTACTCGATATTCGTATAATTAGTCAAGATGGTCCATTAGAAAATTAGGAGTACATAACTTCAAGTTGAGACAAGGGAACAAGGAGGAAAGTGGACCAAATCCAACTTGTGATTAATCTTTTGTTGGTCATAACTCATAAGAAAGGTACAACACTAAAACACTCTTATTCATCATGAACCCACCTCTAAATTGTACAAAAAAACTTGCACCTATCAAATTTGATCCTATTAAATGAATGAAAAAAGATATTTAATTTTCAAAATTAGTCCGTAAAAAGGAATTAAATAATAGGGTGGGTGAGAGTTGCTTAACTGTTTTAGGTATAATAATTTCACAATTTCATTTCATTAATTGTGATAATTAATATTGTTCCCCCTATTTTCTTTCTAGTTTTTCTGCAGTGGGATTTGTACGAAGAAAGAACTCAGTTGTGCCATACATCAGCATTTGGATAAGACAATGGAGATATTTTATTAATCATAAACCAATGGGGAAATGACAAAAGAGGAGAAAATAAATATGCATTGTCTTAAATGTGTTATGATTTTTAATTCTTAAAATTCTTTTAAAAATATATATAATATGTGTGGGAATTAAAATCACTGAATAGTGAGTGCCTACCATACATGCTGTACTTTCATTACTTAACAAAGTACCAGTTGTCATTGATTATTCGTAGTATTTATATATGGTGTATAATATGAATAATATAAGTTAGTACTAATTATCATTTCATCTATATTAGTTGTTCACTTTGTCTTTTACACATTTCTAAGAATATTTATACTCTTGGTAAAATTTAAATGTTTATCCATCCGTTATTGTTCACTATTCAATAACGTGGACAACTAATATGAAACAGAGGGAGTATTACTAATAAGAATGTCTATACAAGTCTTCTCTGCCCAAATTATGACGTATAGACTCAATCGCTTGAGCTAATCATAGACCAGTACCCCTCCAAAATGCAATAAAAATCACTAATCTTGACCATGAGTCATCTTGATCACCTATTGACCTCGTCCAAGTGAAACACTAATATTAAATTTTCATTTAGTTTTACCAAAAAAAATTCTTTTTTTTTATTTATAAAAGAAACGAATAGTCAAAATCCCAAAGAAAGGAATTCATTTTTATTAATAGGTTGATTACATGCCACTACTTAAAATTTTATAAAAATAGCTTGTGTGTTAGAAGTTCACCTCAAATTCGGGCGAATCATCGATAATTCTAATAAATTGACATTTATTTTGCACACACAAATCTTAACAGATTGTCGAGATTTTATTATAAATAACATCTCATAAAATATAAATTATTCACAAGTTCTAATAAATTGTCAAAAGTACCTACAGATAGGGAACTCGCTTTGCTTGCATGCATGTCTTGACAAATTGTCATGACTTGATTCTAAATTATGTTAAAACTTTGAAACAATTTATTCACAAGTTTTGAAAATTTGTCAGAGATGTTGAACATTTACAAGTCGAGATAGATTTTCGGAATTTTAGTGCAAATTATATTATAATTTGAAATGAATCATATACAAATCTTGAAGAGTCGTTATAATTTGAATGGATAGACATTTCACCAACATAATTTTGCTTCTAAATTGGTTTAAATCAATCCAACAATGCTATTCTTTAACTTTCTTTTGCCAAATTAATTCAAATTTATAAGTTCTGCATACAACGTTAACCACTCGGTGGAAACAAATAAGAAACAAAAATGATACGTAACATCATCAATATAATTTTATAAATAAAATCGAAAAAAAATAATGTGTACACACGCTTTAAACAACTTATTTTAATTTTATTTTTATAGCATACGGAGGAGAGAAGTGGAGTAGACATTCCTGAGGGTGTTTATATTTGCAAACTTTTGAAATGTTGGTCAAAAGTTAAATAGTTGGAAATTCAATTGGATCGAAATTTTCTAGGGTTTAGCCTCGATTCAACTAATTGATTTTCTTCATCGACGCTTCCCTGCTCATCGTCTTCAGCTTTCTCTCCGTCGCTTTCCAAGTGAGTTCATCTTCAAACCCTAGTTTCTATGTTTTCTTAATATCATTAGGGTTTCATTCTGACCTGTTGATTCATAATCAATTTCCTGTTTGTTTGTTGTGAAAATTTTATCTTTAGTCTGATTTTGCAGTTAATGATATATCATTTGTTGTTGAGTAGATTGATTGGATTTTGTATCACTTTTTTAGATCCGTTTTTCAATTTGTTTACGTGTGTTTAAAAGTAGATCTGTTTTTGTGATCGATTCATTTCATTGTTATACAGGTTCTTTCGCTGTTGGTAAATTAAGATAGAGTAGTTTCTTTTTATTTTTACTTGGATTGGATTCATGTTTGCGTAGTTTTGAAGCTCACCTAGTTTGTTAGGTCAGCTCCTAAAGGATAGGCTGTATTTGACTAGATGAAGATAAGAATAACATGCGTTGATTCAGTTAGCGAGATGACTCAATTCTGCAGTTCGAGTCCGTTGGGGGTAATTAAGAACCACAGTTGATCCATAGCGTGCGTTAGAAAATGATTATTAGGTTTCTCTTTTAGATTTTGTGGTTTCTTGCGTTATTATCTATAGGAGCATTGAGCTGTAGGACTATCTCAATTCATTTTATTAACATGAAGAGGAATGATAAGGTTGCTTAGGTATAACGTTCTTAGGGAATAAGTGAAAAAGAAATGTCTTTGTTTGCTTAAGTTGAGCTACAAAAATGAGAGACTAAGTGAATAATAATACAGTCTAATGGAAGGGTTATGTCTTTGCTATGCTTATTACTCATTTGGTGCAAAAATCACTTAAATCACGGAGCTAATTGGCTTATTCATTAAAACATGGTGGTGGTTGGACTTTACATATCTGTAACCATATAACCTTTGATGTTAATATGAGTTAAAATACCATCCTGTTTTTTTTTACCCCTGATTTAACTATGCCACCAACATATGTGATCAGAGCATTTGTGTCTTTTCTTCTTAATTCTCTTAATCAGAGGAAGTGGTATTATACTTGTTCAATGGGAATTTGAAGGTGCAAGCCATTGCTGTCATATGATCAGTGTGTTGCTGTTTCTTTTTGAATAGTTAAATCTTAAGAGTCTTGTTTTCCTTTTCACTAGATCCATTGAACTTGATTCTACTAAAAAGTAAAAACCATCTCACATCTCAGCCTTACAGCTTGACATAGCATCTATATTTTCTTTTCATTCTTCTTCAAGAGTTACAGTCACCATTAGAACTTACCAAGATTCATTTGAGAAAACAGAGACAACTCCCACTTAAAATGGAGATCTCACAGGGTGTTGCATCACCACCAGTTCATTTTGGTTCTTGGGGCAGGTTTGGGGGGGGGGGGGTGCTGTCTTTTTTGGTTATGCCATCTTATTAGTTTGCATGCTGCTTTACAGAGATGAATATATCACCATACGTTATGTTTTTAAGGAAAAACTCTCATTTACTTGCTATAGATAGAGTCTTCAATTAGGCCTGTAACACCCAGAGCACTCTGGCTCTGCTTCTTTGTTGTACTGGAGACCTTAATTTGGTGGATACCTTTATGCACTTTATTCAAATGACTGGATGTTCTACCTGTGCCTTCAGCCATATGCATTTCATGCACTTTCAAATATTATTTTATGCTGATGGACTACAAGTTCAATTGCACCTCTTTTCTAGAGTAAATTATTTTATGCAAAGCTTGTTTTAGTTATTTAAGCATCCATGAAAGATTCACTTCTCTCGTAGTGTGCCACAAATATGTTAAAAAGAAAAAGAAAGGAATGCTGCGGATATTAACCATCCTAACGTGGTTCAGGTTAAACTGATTGGTTATATTCATTTTATTATGAGATTGTAAATTTACAAGTTATTGAATAACACAGGATGTCAGAAGAAGCACCTTTCTATCCCAGAGAAAAGCTTGTTGAGAAGCAAAAGTTTTACCAAAGCGTCCACAAGCACACATACTTGAAAGGTCGTTTTGACAAGATCACCTCAGTGGCCATTCCAGCTGCTTTGGCAGCTTCTGCTTTGTTTATGATTGTGAGTTTTTTTGAAATTTTTCTAGATTGCTTTATCTGCTGTCTTGAATCAACTCTAATGGTATTCTGGATTATATTTC